GCGGTTTGGAAAAAAATAAAAAAAAAAAATAATGTATACGGTTATATCAATATATGTAAAATAAATATTACTAAATAATGGAATTCTGAATAAGAATGCTTCATGAATGAAACAGGTAAGATTTTATTTTTAGATCGAAACAATTCATGTTTTTATGGGTGATCATTTGTTCTGCATAATGCCTTTGTTTATAGCATCAAATCTAAACATAACATATAGTGATCTCGAAGAATTTCCAAATCGAATTACAAGCGAAAGAAAAAAAAAATTTTGTTTATCTTTGTTTGGCAGAAATAAATAAATGGCTGATCTATTTTAGAAAATTAAATGAAAATCTATTTATTAATGAATAAAGAAAATTAGCGGAATAATCCAATTTGAGAATTATCCAATGGCGTACATTTGCTTGAAATTCTATTTACTACAAGTAATATTGGCAGTAGTAATATATGATCTTACTATAAAGATCTTAAAATATCCAAAAGAAAGGTTTCATTAAATAATCCCAAATTCAACCATCTTATTGAAGATATCATTTTAGGCACGCGTTTGTATGTCACTAATTCAATAAAAATATCTTTTTCGTTTAGTTGCGTTTTTTTTTTTCTTTATGATTCGATAGTTATTAAGGCGGCGTTTGATATTGCATAAATAACTACTTTGATATCAAGGCCTGTTTTTTTTTTTTAAATTTGGTTTCCAAAATAAGAGATTAGAAACATAATAATTCAATATTTTTTAAACAAGCACATCATATTTCTCATACTAGCGAAATTTGATGATTTTTGATAAACAACATTATTTTTATTTAAACGATAATGCCTCTCGATAAATATTCGGCATTTTTGCTCAAAAGTTTTTTTTTATTTTTTTTTTGCATTTGAAAATAATCAAAACGCTACATTTTTTTTTTATAAACCAATGATTCGAATTAAAGCTTTATCCGGCACAAAACTTTATCTATTAATATGATGTATATTCTAAAATAATAAAACAAAGCATCTATACATTTTATATATAACTATTTTCTATGTATTTTTTTTTTTTTTTTTTTATCGTGTCTATAAAAAAATTTTTCTAACAATAACGCACGTAAAGCAAGCCTCACTTGATAACCAATTACCTTCATTTATTAAGTCATTATAATAAAATAATTTCAAACGGTTCTTTTTCACCCTTGATTAATTGATTCTGAACTTCTTTTTTATTTTATATATAAACCCTCGTCAAAGCACCTTCAAAATCGAAAAAAATTTTTGTAAATTTGTCAAAAAAATAAAAAAAGAAAGAAAGAAAGAAAGAAAGAAAGAAAATAAATAATCAATAATGACACGAACTTTAGGCCTTTACTACATATTGGCCCTCCTCTCTTCTATCATGATAATATTCGTTAATGTAAATGATACTGCTCCTGTTCCTGCAAATACAAAATTTACGGGAGATGCCACTTTCTTTGATACAGGACTTGGAGCTTGTGGTAGAGTTAGCAACAACGACGAATTAATTTTTGCTCTTCCTTCTGTAATGTTTGACCCCTCTCCCGGTGGTAATCCAAATAACAATCCCAATTGTGGAAGACTCGCAACTGTTACGCGTGGCGCAAATTCAGTAACTGTCATGTGCGTAGATCGGTGTGTCGGATGTAAATCTGGGGATATAGATTTATCTCCAGCTGCTTTTAATCAAGTTGCAAATCCAGATGAAGGTCGAGTCCTGGTTTCGTGGTCATTTATAAACTAATTCCCAATTGATTAATTGATGAACATTTACACTCAAACGTAATAAAATCAAAAAATGTACATAAATAATTAGGATCCGTCAATATTCTTATAAAGCTTTACCTTATAGAGTTTTTAGATATAAATTCCTTGTTTTTTTTTTTTTTTTCTTTTTTTTTAGAAATCGCAATTTAATTTATTCAAACCTGTATACTATTTAAATTTATGTGTATAAAAGAATTGAATTCAAATTCAATATTTATTTTTCGTTCAATAAATCACGTGAAATCAAATGACTGATAAGATTATTGTTGATGCAAAATACTAAAAAAATACTAAATGTGGCTATGCACCAATATTTGCATTTTATGAGAAGTTAAAGCTATTAAGCTGATTGCTTATACATTAATTTGGAATCTGAATTCAATTTAATTTTGAACACGTTATATGAATATCATAAATAGTTATTACAATGAATCAAAGATATTTAACAAATACAAAAATAATGTGTAATATACATTCATTACATAAATCTCTTTTTTTTTTTAAGTACAAAATTGATTTATTGTGTGAAATATTTTGCAAAAAAGGAATTAAATAAGAAAAAAAAAATTACAAAGAATTTATGAAGAATAAAAAGATTTAATACGTCTAATTACAATTATTGTTCTTTTTTAGAAACTGATGTTTCGGAATCTAAATACTTATCGGCAGTTGCTGGGTGCCCTTGCTGCAAAGTACTATAAACTTTATCTTTTCCGACTTTAATAATCTCTGAGGCAATCATTTGAACGAAGGTTTCGACAGGTCCAAATAGATTTAATGAATAGATTATAAAACCAATGAATCCAAAAAAGCTAACGAGTATAAGATACGTTGGTGATGTGAGGATTACCACGAATTCGTTCCAACCAAGCAAAACTAAAAAAAGGGTGTCAATATTCACATCTAAAAATTTAAACAATTTACGCAACAATTAAATTTTAAATAGCAACTTACCGAGCAAAAGCAATACCCAATACGGCACACGAGCCGTGGTCTGTACAACGGATCGTTTAGCTTCCAGGTAAAAGGCATCAGATTCACGTTTGAAACGAACATTTAAATCATGTTGTTTTGTTTCAGAAAGGATGACTAATGATTCCTCGAAAATAAAGTCCTATGCAACAAATAAACATTATTATATATTACCAATCATCCGTACATTTAATTTGTACTAAATACATTAAAAAAAACTTACATCATCCGAAGGAATATCTAAGTCTATACCATCAGGAATTTGAACTTTGGCAAACAATGGTATTAGTTTAAGTGCCTATAATGAAATAATGTAATAAAGATCAACTTTAGTCATTGTATATGATTGACAAAGCTTTATTCAATTTGAATGCAATAACTAACATCTTCTCTAGCCTTTCTGAAATGTGCATCGATGTCATCATCAGGCTTCCAAACTTTTGGTAATCCTTCTTCATCATATCTGAACTTTTCTTCAAATCTAAAAAAGAAAGATTGAATAATCAGTTTAATCCTGGTTCATGTTCAAAATCATAATCGTATTGGTTAAACATAAAATGTCAAGCACACCTCTCACGTAATTTAAGCAAAAACATATTATCAGCGAGTTCATCATCTATTTTTTTTCGTAACTGTTGCCAAGATCTTTTTCGAAGATTTTCGAGAGATTTAGTGTTCTCTTCTTCGGATGAATTAAAACCTAATTGAATTTAAGAAAATACGGTTATTATAGAAAATATTAACTTTTCAATTGATATGAACTTATGGTATATACGTAAACATACTCTTAGCTTTCTTAAGAAGTTGTTGTTCAGTCTTTTGTAAAACTTCTTGGAATTTCCCAATAATCTTCCCCCACATATCTGTGGTAGGTGTTTTAAAATATAAAGAAACGAACTCGTTGATTTGTGTCTGAACTGTTTTCTGCAAATTTTTTTTTTTTTTAAAAAAAATCAATAAATTTTTATTATACAAATTTCAAACATATTTTATATAAATGAACAATAATTCTACCTCCAAATTCTTAATCATCTTTTTTGTTTCTTCGGTTCTTGATTTAGCAGCAATTTCATTGATAGAATCAGATAATTGATTAAATTCTTCATCGAAAGTCCAGTCAGTTTGAGACAGAACAATCGCTTAATAATAATAATAATTAATAATAATAATAAACAATATTAATTAAAAGAAATCGGAAACAGATTTTTTTACTTGAATTAAATAAAAACTTAATTTTAATTACCTTCAGCGTTATTTTTGAAAAAGGTTTCAATATCTTTGCGAGCATTGGATACCACCTCAGCAAAATCATACCCTTCCCCTTTTAATTTTTCCTATGAATTAAAATTGCGTACTTAAGATTCTTTTATTTTATTTAAAAAAAAAATTTGACAAGATAATAATGATATATACCTGGATACGAGCATTGAATGTATTAATAGCTTTCTTGGTAAGGTTTTTCAATTGACCCAAGTAAAATACATGTAATTGTGAATTTGTTTTGTTAAGTATTTCTTGACGTTTACGTTTGTATACTTCCGAAAGATAACGAGATGCCTCTTTATCAAATTGTTCTAACAGTTGTAAAGAAAATTTAAAAAGTTATAATACTAATTTATATTTTTAACTATATTTAATAAATATGATGGAGAACAAACAAGTAGTTACTTATTGTCGCATTTCGAATCTCCTCCATTTGTGGACCTAGATCTTCTATGATTTTGCCAGCTTCGATAGGTTGCCGAAATCCTTTTATTTTCCCTAAAAATGCATCAAAAGCAACCTTGAAATAGAAAATTTTTACAAGAATATATAAGTTAGGAATACCGTTTTTTTGCGTATAATGAAATAATGACGATGATTATTTACCGTTGCTATTTCGTCACAGCGGTATTGTGCAAGAAGTTCTTGTTGTGTTGGCAAATCAAGATCCTTATTGGACATAATTTGGTCCTGTAAAAAGTGATTAAGAAAAATGTAAATAATAAATATTTAAAGAATTATCAGTGATTTACTTTTCATACCCAAATTCCTCCCGCATAAACATGAAATCCGTCGGCAGGTACTCGTTTACTATAATTCGGCTTGAAAACAAACTCCTTATGATTTGGATTAGCAAACCTACCAAAACAAATTAATTATAAAATTTCCATCAAATCTTATGAGACAAAAATTTTAAAAAATCATATACTATACCTTTCTCGCAATTTGATTACGTCTTCCTCGAATTTGGCCGGTAAGAGCAGTTTATGCGGTAATGCTGCAAACATGAAATCGAAATAATCCGTGATGGTACAACTTTCCAAACCTTCAGGCTATTGGATAAAAGATACGAATGAGAATCGTATGATAAACGGTATGTAAAACAAATAAAAAACAAAAATTCTATAATTACTTTAGAAACACTATCCCAAATTTTTTTAAGATCTTCAGTTAATGTATTAGACAAATTTTCCAATGGTGTTGTTCCCACATGATCTCTGATTACAAATAGTAACAGTGTCTTCTCTTTGCTAATTATTAATAATAATAAAATTTTAGCAATTCGTATTGTAAGATGTGATTTATGATTGATAAAACGAAC